TGGGCGGGAAACACCTTCCGCATCACTCCTCCATCACACTTCGTGGGCGAAGAAACACCTTCCGCATCACTCCTCCATCACAGGTCTTGGGCGGGAAACACCTTCCGCATCATTCCTCCATCACAGTTCGTGGGCGGCCCTTCTACCAGCAGGTCTCTGTCTACCCTTCACGATATTTTAGATTCCCAAACTTAAGTTCTGTAACTTCATCTCCAAGACGGCATCTTCTGTGGAGGGGAGGTGTCCGTGTTTCAGCTCCGAGTGAGATTTTGGCATCTAATACCTGAAGCACAGTCTCAAATCCCTCCAGCGAGCCCTGGTGTTTCGTTATGAGGCTGCCACTGCAGTCATTAACACACGGTCTATTCTGTTGACGCGACCCAACTTTTCCCTCACAGTAAACACAGTTAATCAGCAGCGGGCCCAGCCAGTCGTCCGATAGATCAGCCAGCAGATATGACCCCCCCCTCCCCCGTTTGAGGTCCGGGGCAGCACAAGGTCGGCAGCAGGAGCGTCCCGGTTCCTGAGCTCCATGGCACCCGGCCGGCTTCTAATGCCAGCTCCGCCATCCATCCTGAACCCCCCCCCGCCGTCACCTTCACCTTGCCTGGCTGTTCCTGTCCAGAGAGGTGCGGGAGGGGCCGTGCCAGGGCACATAGCTCATAGGCCCAAGGTGAGCAGTAAATGAGGCCTGCAGAGCAGACGCCCACTGCCTTTTGTAAAAAAAAATCTGAGTTCTGAGAGTTTCCACCGGGGTCAGTGACAGAGAGGCGGCTGGTGACGCAATCGAGCGGTAAAAAACAGCCTAGCCTGCGGGGGGGGGTTACACATAAAGGCCTCGCCCTTTGCGGCAATTCTCAAGCCTGTCCTCAGGGACCCCCAGACAGCCCAGCCCAGAGGAAGCAAAAAGCCCAGCCAATCAAGAACACCAAACATCTGGTACCAGGTGTTGGGAGCTGGGAGGGAGCAACAATGTGGGCTGTCAATATAGCCTGTGATTGATGCTACGTCTCTGTTAGCATAGCAGTGATGATCCTACCTGTTAGCTGGGAGACTGGGGTCTTATCTTATCTTATCTTATCTTATCTTTCTGTCATCCATTCATCTATGTAGTCCATTATCGCATTATCACAGGCTACGAGAATGATTCCTGGTCTTAGAGGAATGTCTTATGAGGAGAGGTTAGCTGAGCTGAATCTGTTCAGCCTCGAGCAAAGGAGACTAAGGGGGAACATGATCCAGGTATATAAGATTGTAACAGGTCTGGATGCTGTTCAGCCAAATGGCTATTTCAATATTAGTTTAAATACTAGAACTCGTGGCCATAAGTGGAAATTAGCGAGAGAACATTTTAAAACAAATTTCAGGAAGCACTTCTTTACACAGCGTGTAGTTAGAGTATGGAATAGTCTTCCTGTTAGTGTAGCGG